TCCGGCCAAGGGCGGAACAGCGGGAGGCCCCCAGGACTGGCCGCCGCAGCGTCCTCGCTGAGAGACCGCAGCAGGCAACGTCCACAAGTCCTCCGGCTGCCTAGGGCCCCAATGGCCGCCTTTTCTACCCTAGCCACACAGCGCCAACCGCCGCAGCCAGCGCCATCTTAGGATCTCATTGTGGTGGGAGAAGAGGGGCGGGGGGACTGCAGAGGGGCGACGCGCAGGGAGACGTGCGCCGTCTCCTCGGCAACGGCGGCGCGGGGGCGAGAACCCGCCGGGCCGGGATGCGCAGTGCGAACGACGCGCTAGCCTAGAGTCATGTGACCCGCCGGCTCTGTGGTGTCACCTCGGGCTCTCTACTTCGGCGCGCGGACTGCACAGACGAACCCCCGGGACTACATATCCCAGAATGCAGCTCGGCCCGTGTGAAAGCGCCAGCCCGCCGCGAGGGAAAGACTACACGTCCCAGCATGCTGTGCGCCCCTCTGCGCCGGCTACGTGAGCTCGAGGCCTGAGCGGAAGTGGACTGACTAAGTCTGAGTACGGCCTGGCGGCTTAGAAAAGCGTGGGGGCGCGTTCTCGTTTTCGTGGGGGTGTTAGCCCCGGAGTGTGCCGGAAAGAGGAGAAAAGACCCCGATCTTTGTATTTTCTGCCACCCACGTCCCTCACGGAGGAGTGGAAACACAAGGAACCGTACAATCTAGTCCAGCCTCTTAATTTTACGCAAGAGAGAATAAATCCGCGGGAGTGAAACAATTTGCCAGAGGTCATATAGCTAGTCAGCGGGAGAACCGTACATATGGTTAATAACGTCACCTTGGATTCCAAACCCGTTGTCTTGGAGTCGATTCTGACTCACAGTGACCCTGTAGGACGGAGTAGAACTGCCCCACGGGGTTTCCAAGGGGCGGCTGGTGGATTCAAACTGTCGACTTTTTGGTTAGCAGCCAAGCTCTTAACCACTTTGCCACCAGGGCTCTCGCCTTGGATTAACGTCTTATTTTTTCCCTCAGAAGAACCAGATGATTTTAATCAAAATTTAGTTTCAGGAAGTTTTCTCTAAAATTGTGTGCAGTCGAGTTGATTTCTTACTAGGAGGGAGTAAAACTGCCCCATAGGGTTTCCCAGGCTGTAATCTTTAACGGAAGCAGACTGCCACAGGCTTCTCCCACAGAGAGCGGGTGGACTCGAACCACCGACGTTTTGGTTAGCAACTCAGCGCTTAACCTCTGTACCACCAGGGCTCCTTTCTCTGAATTATGGTTTCTGAATTCCTCTTTTTTTAAGCTGTTGTTTCAACAGTAGCTCTATTAAGGTTAGTAAATTGACAAATTCTTTTTTTTTTTTTTAACGCGATAAAGTTCAATTGAGGTCCTCAATGAACCTGGCTGAAAATATCGGTTTCTATTTTGTAGACAGTTTTAATTATGAGATTGTTTTTCTTAAGCAAAATAAGAGTAGGGAGGAATGAAGAATGGGCACCTGGATAATAACAAATCATTCCCCTTAATTAGCAGCGGAATCTGTTCACAAAACCAAGTAATTGAACTGCATCGTAATACATAATTCAAATGAATAAAAGCTCTTCCATCCTGATGCAGTTTGCTGTTGTCTCCAGTTTCAGTCAACAGCGGCATGAGCGTTGACACTATTCATTTATCATTCGTTTTTTGGTAGGCCCTGTATGCGAAGCATTGCTAAGTACAGAGGCTTGCGCTTGGAAAGCTCCTATTTCAGCGAAGCGTGAGGAGATGGAGTGTGATGTAAGTAAGTGCTATGGCGCTCAGAACACAGAGCAGCTAACTACAACTAACCAGTGGCGTGTTTATTGTTGTCCAGAGTGCCTAGGCCGCATTCTAATTCCACCAGGCAATGAGATCTTGGGCAGACTATTTAACCTTTCTGGGCTTCAGTTGCCTCATCTATAAGATTAGGGGAGGATTAATAATATTGCCTACTTTGGAGGGATTCTTTTTAAAATTAATGTTTATTGTATACCAGGCGCAGTGTTAAGCAC